GAATGATTAAAAACCTTGCATGATACTGAAAAACAAACTACAATCAAGTGGATATTCTTTGGAATCAAAGGCGTGCGCCCCCCTGGTGGCTAATAGGGTCCCTTTTTTGCAGCTTGTCTGCATGGCCCCCTCGGCTGGAAGTGAATTGGCCAATGTTTCCATGCAGAATGTTAAAATGGCATATGCACCCCTTGCTGTTCCTTTGCTGTTATGTCCTCCAATCGCCCCGTGAAAAGCCCTGGCTACTGAAGTACCAGAGTGAACACGACCTGATTATAAGATGTCCTGTGGTGACTCAGAGGGGACCCAGACACTCCTCACTTAGCCAGATACAACCCACCATTCCTCCTGCCCTTCTGACATGAGTGCACATTGTGGGACCACCTTATTTTGTGTTAGCAAGATTGTCCGTGGCCTTGTAATAGATTGGGACAATTAAATCTATTTTCCCAATCGACATGTATTGAGCTCCTACCATGTGCTAAGATATGTGTGACCAACCTGTCCTTGTTTGCTGGGACTTCCCAGTTTTAGTGCTGAAAATATGGCATGTCCTAGAACCGCCCCCCCCCCATGTCCCAGGCAAACTGGGGTGGTTGGTCACCTGGCCCATCTAAGCACTGAGGATGACAAGTTAGAAACCTCTCCCTGCATCAAGAAGCAGGTGGTCTTAGAATCAGAAAAGTAAGCCAATTACAAAAACTTAGAGTAATCAGTACTTAAAATAATGAACAGGGCACCATGGACACAGAAAGTTGAATCTAACTAACCGGGAAGCCAGAGAATGTTCCTTGAAAGAGACAATACTTGAGTGTGATTTAAAGAATGAGCAGCATGACATACACAGTTAAATTTTGCAAGCCTCAAAAGAGGAGATACTGGTGGGACGTCATGCTATTTTATTCTTTCTTTGTGTCCCAAAATACGTATCTTTGGTTCAGATTTCCACAGTGTAATGGTGGGATCTTAGCATTAAATAAACAGAAAAGAGAATGGTAATTCTTGGTGTACTTTATTATGGGACAGAATACATCTTACAGTATTTCAGGACTGAAGCTAGTGACAGTTTTCTGGATTAGTTATGCATATGCAATGCCTATTTCTTTTCCTGGAGTTTGTGTTTGAGAACCGTGAAAATGAGTAGCTTAGGGGGGCGCCTGGGTGGCTCAGTTGGTTAAGCGACTGCCTTCGGCTCAGGTCAGGATCCTGGAGTCCTGGGATCGAGTCCCACATCGGGCTCCCTGCTCAGCGGGGAG